TCACAAATTAAGAGTGAAGTTTGGCTTGAGTGTGATTGGAATCATACCACTTGTGTTATAGTAGGTTATATAAGAATATTAGTTTTATATCAATTATATGAAAATATATATTGATGTAGAAAGGCTAAATAGATTCACTTATTACATTTAAGCTTTTGATATAAAAATGAGTTTAATATTGTTACTACGAGTATACGAATCCAACTTTTGCTTTTGTTTGTCCTCAATTTTTAACAATATAATATCATAATTATAGTTTGATGAGGTCAAGTTTATTTAGTTGTCTTTCATAGATGTTTATTTCATTTATTATGTTTAAGTAAATTAATAGCAAATGACTACTAAGAAGCTCTAGTGTTGAGTAGGTTTTAATAGAAAATTAAGTTATAAAGCTATATTAAGGGTTAGAGGTGTGTAGAGGATAATCCTCACAAAGGGAAATATTAACCATATTGAGTAATATTGTGTTTAATATTAGATTGAATGAATAAAATATAACATTGTAAATAATGAGTGGATCATCATCACTCACAATTGATGTATCGAGTCCAATTGAGATCCCCTTAACTCACACTATTAAGAAAAAGAAATATGAGAACAAGGATCAGGTCTAGGCCTCTTACCCCAATAATCATAGCAAGGACGAGAATATCCACTGTCAAACAATGACCCCTTTATGTAATAATAGTTTGCACCCAAAGATATCAATATAGCTAACATGCATGCCAGATTTTAGTTATCATCAAAATTAATTGACCAAATGAAATAGCAGTAATATAAAAGGTTAATCCAATATACGATGAAGAATGTAACAAAATGTATAAATAAAAAGTAGCACGATTTTTTCTTGGGCTTTATTTTAAGAAAAAAAAAATAGAAATGAATTAGTGTCAATTCACCACACAATGAAAATGGAATTATGTATACTCTAATGTATTAGGTTCATAATAAGTCACAACAAATACATGTTATGTGAAATGAGATATAAATATAAACATTCATCTTAGGGAGTGTGGAACCAAAGGAAAATGGAATTGGGCCAAAGTCAATGATGATTAAAACATGCTTTCACCTGAAAGGCTTAACTATATGAGAGGCTAAAAAAGAGAATTCTTATAACATCATTTTCAACTATTTGAAGTGCGCTTAAAGTCTTATGTGTCCCTTAAGAGTCTCTCATTCACATATGAGCTATCACTAGTTCATCACTCTTCCCAAATAAAATTATTACAACATCATAGAGTATCATGCACTAAGAACTCTCTCAAACTACATTAATATGGGGTACTTGATTTTAACTTAACTTAAATACATATATAAGGTGATAATGACCAATAAGAAACATAAACTATATGAACCATTTGATACAATTGAAGTTTGTTATATACAATTTTTAGAGAGTGTGACATAAGAATAATTAAAGTTATTAGATACACTTGTTGTGATAGATCACGTGGTTGATAATTGATTTGACCATCATACATCTAGCCTAATTTTTGATCTGTCTTCCTTAAAATGTTAGTACATAATCAAATGTTAAGAAGATTGATTTATAGTTCCTATGATTTTTTATCTCTTATATCAAGATTGAACATATTTTAATATCAAAATATCCTACAAAGCATTCATATGTTGATGACTTATGATGTATGATACTTAAAATATGCTGTATAAGATATTTTTATGGAGAGTGATTTGCCATTAGGAGAGCTCTCATGTAAGAGAAATGTATTAATTAGACACATGAGGCGTTTGTTTATTCACATTTTAGATAGCTTTTTTCACACATTAGATAGCTAAAAAATAAGTATGCATTAGACGATTGGGGCGCGCTGCTTTGGGTTTTTTTATTTTTTTTTTTTGCGGCCTTTTTAGATTGGACAACAGCTAGAAAATTTTTCCGGCGGTTTTTTTTCACCGGAAAACTTTTCCTACGCGCTGGCTTTACCAGTGAAAAAAATCAGCTTGGTAATAAATGATTTTCATGTAGCGAAATATCAGTCATAAGAATGGTTTCAAGAACGATGAGCTAAACTCATTATAACTTTTTATTTATGGAGGACTTTTTCCTTGCTAGATGTCCTCATCATTTCACTTCAAAAATACTTTACTCATTACACCACTAGTGAATTTGCCTCTTCACATCTTTAGCTACTTTCCTCTTCTATATATTCCATATACTACAAGTTGAATATGCCTAAGGGGAAACCAACGAAATTAGGTGCCTGCAATTATAGTATTTAAGAAGCATATTAGATAAACAATACATATAATTAATACAAATTAAAATGCACCAATTGTAATTTTAATTAAATATTACCCAATAAAATAATTCATGAGAAACAAATTCCATATCTATCCATAAAGAAGTGGCGAGAGTGTGAAGAAAGACAAGTGGAAAGGCATGAACTCCACACTCTTTGTAGCTATCACTTGCTTCTACATTCAAAGAAAAATGTAGATTAGAGAAGTTTTATTGGCCCACCTTGTCCCAAATCAGCTTAAGCTAGTTCAATTGATCATTCACGATTAAGGCTTCGTTTGGATGCTTTTTTACTGCCTCTTGAAGCAGCTTTTTAGTACAAAATTTTAATTTTTGCTACTAGAAAAGCTGCTTTAAAGAAGCAATAAGAAAGCTATCCCAAACAAAGCCTAAACATGCATGAAAACATGTCTATGTCTCTCATCATAATCGTCTCAATGAGACCATCATTTATATTACAAATTCATCCAATTTGATGCATGTAATTCAATAAGAAAATTATAACTAATTTGAAAGCAAAGAAACTTAGGCTTCGTTTAGACGGTTTTTTATTGTTTTCTAAAACGGAGTTTTAATACAATTTTTTTATTTTGTAGTTAAACTCCGTTTAGAAAGCACTGAGAAAAGCCGTCCCAACGAATCCTTAGGTTCATTTTGGACGGCTTCTTAATCTTTTAAAGCAGCTTTATAGTATAAAAAATTTTATATTTTTCTACTAGAAGGTGTTTTGAGAAAGATTAAAAAGCCTACAAACGAAACATTAGGCTTCGTTTGACAGCTTCCTTACTGCTTCTTGAAACAAACTTTTTAGTACAAATTTTAATTTTTGTACTAAAAAACTATTTTTAAGAAGCAGTAAGAAAGCCGCCCAAACCAAGCCTTAGGCTCCATTTTACTGCTTTTTAACTGCTTCTAAAGCTTGCTTTCTAAAAAAATAATTTTTTGTACTAGAAAAAGACATTTAAAAAGCAGTACGAAAGCCCGTCCCAAACTAAGGCTTAGAGAAACAACATTTGCTTATAGAAAATTACCCACCAAAGCTGCCAATGAGAGGCATACATGCTGATGGAGCGGGCCGTGCCAATACTTCCTACAACTTCCTCCGAGTCTCGTGATCATGCATCTTGAATTTGGATACAAACGCAGTTATCAGAAACACAGTTATTATTGTCAATAGCTGCATCAAAATATTCCTCTGCACAAAAAAAAATTGAAATATAAGCATATATGTATAGCTGAAAAGTTATTACACATAAGCTTCGTTTGCGACAGCTTTGTTGTTGCTTTCTAAATAATTTTAACTAGTACGAAAGCTATTCTTTTTTTTCTATTTCGCTCATAAGTTCTACAGGCCTCAATCCTATTTTATACTACCTGAAAATAGAAGCCTAATTTCGCTCTTGCTTTTATGCCTGATTCGAAGTCAAGTTAATGTTGTAGGCTTCGTTTGGGCGCTTTCTAAAATTTTTATACTAAAGTATTTTAAGAAGCAGTTAAATAGCCGTCTCAAACGAGGCTTAAAGATATTAATTCTACAGCAAGTTTCGAAAAAGTTATTTCTGACAACAACTTTACAATCACTCTTTACGAAATGCTACAATATCTAAATTAGATCCTAATTTATGCATTAGACTAAGCAATAATAGAAAAAGAAGATGTTTAGCTAAACTTGCCTTTGTCTTAGCTATGGAAGAAAACCAATATATTATGATAAAAATGAAATTCCAAGAGGACTCCAGCTCCATTAACTGTGACCACAGATATGTTTTCCCCAACCATAGCTCACTATAGGAAGACCATACCATGTATAATTAAGGCAATAAATAGAGCAAGCAGAGTATGGTATGCATGAATATTCTCCTGTGCTTCTCTTCTGTATCACTCTTTTGAAAGTTAATCTGAAGAGAAAAAAAAAAGAAAATTTCATAAAAAGATCAGCAAAAAAATGAGTATATTTGGGATAACTGCAACATTTTTATAAAGTTGTTTGGGATGAAAATAGCTTAGTTATTATGATCAGAGGAAGCAACTTCTTACTCAAGAAATTTTGAAAACATGCAGAAAGCACAAAAACAAAGCATAATGAATATTTGATGCTATTTGAAAAGCAAAGCTGCGAAAAAGCTGCCTTTCCAAATAGACTTTGGTTCATTTAGGATGTTTTTACTGCTTCTTAAAGCAGCTTTATAAGCTGAGATAAGCAAAAAATTGTCCGAAACGAAACCTTTTAAGTGAAGGAATTAACAATAGCCAAATTATCAATTACATGGGTGTGATGAAGAGGAGAAGCACAGCTGCATTGCCTGCACAATTATCCAAAAATATTGTTTGAATGTTAGAAAAAAAAAATGTCAATATTGAAAAGGAAACAATTCCAATTTTTTTTTTTCTTTTGCAAAAATATTTGATTTACATATTGATCACTGACGATTCCTATGTAAAAAGCTGCTTTAAGAAGCAGTAAAAAATCATCCTAAATGAACCAAAGTCTATTTGGAGCAGGCAGCTTTTTCGTAGCTTTGCTTTTCAAATAGCGATCAAAATTTCATTTATCTTCTGCTTTTTTGATGCTTTCTCGCTATTTTTCAAAATTTCTTGGAGTAGAAAGTTGCTTCCTCTGATCATAATAACTAAGCTATTTTCATCACAAACAACTTTATAAAAAGTTGTAGTTATCCCAAATATACTCATTGTTTTTGCTGATCTTCTTATGAAAAATTTTTTTTTTTCCCTTCAGATTAACTTTCAAAAGAGTGATACAGAAGAGAAGCACAGGAGAATATTCATGCATACCATACTTGCTTGCTCTATTTAATTGCCTTAATTATACATGGTATGGTCTTCCTATAGTGAGCTATGGTTGGGAAAACATATCTGTGGTCACAGTTAATGGAGCTGGAGTCCTCTTGGAATTCTCATTTATTATCATATATATCTGGTTTTCTTCCATAGCTAAGACAAAGGCAAGTTTAGCTAAACATCTTCTTTTTCTAATTATTGCTTAGTTCTAATGCATAATTAAGGATCTATTTAGAATAATTGTAGCATTTCGTAAAAGTGATTGTAAAACTGTTGTCAAGAAAGTAACTATTTTGAAACTTGCTGTAGAATTAATATAACTTTAAGCCTCGTTTGAGACGGCTATCTTATTGCTTATTAAAATAGCTTTTAAGTATAAAAATTTTAGAAAGCCGCCCAAAACGAAGCCTACAACATTAACTTTACTTCGAATCAGGCATAAAAGCAAGAGCGAAATTAGGCTCTATTTTCAGGGTAGATAAAATAGGATTGAGGCCTATAGAATCTTATGAGCGAAACAGAAAAAAAAAAAAGAACAGCTTTCATACTACTTAAAACGGTTTTCTAGTATAAAATTTTCTATTTCAAAAAATTTGTGTACGTATTGTAAAATTATTTAAGAAAGCAACAACAAAGCTGTCACAAATGAAGCCTTAATGAGTAATAACTTTCTCAACTATACATATATGCTTATATTTCATTTTTTTTTTTGTGCAGAGGAATATTTTGATGCAGCTATTGACAATAATAACTGTGTTTCTGATAACTGCGTTTGTATCCAAATTCAAGATGCATGATCACGAGACTCGGAGGAAGTTTGTAGGAAGTATTGGCACGGCCGCCTCCATAGCAATGTATGCCTCTCCATTGGCAGCTTTGGTGGGTATTTTCTATAAGCAAATGTTGTTTCTCTAAGCCTTAGTTTGGGACGGCTTTCGTACTGCTTCTTAAAACTGTTTTTTAGTACAAAAAATTATTTTTTTATTAGAAAGCAGCTTTAAGAAGCAGTTAAAAAGCAGTACTCCCAAATGGAGCCTAAGGCTTGGTTTGGGATGGCTTTCTTATTACTTCTTAAAATAGTTTTTTAGTACAAAAATTAAAAATTTGTACTAAAAAGTTGTTTCAAGAAGCAGTAGGAAAGCTGTCCCAAACGAAGCCTAATGTTTCGTTTGGTACGGCTTTCTTAATCTTCTCAAAACACCTTCTTAGTAGAAAAAATAAAATTTTTATACTATAAAGCTGCTTTAAAAAGCATTAAGAAAGCCGTCCCAAATGAAACCTAAGGATTCGTTGGGGACGGCTTTTTCAGTGCTTTCTAAAACGGAGTTTTACTACAAAAATAAAAAAAATTGTATTAAAACTCCGTTTTAGAAAACAATAAAAAAACCGTCCTAAACGAAGCCTAAGTTTCTTTGCTTTCAAATTAGTTATAATTCTTCTTCATTGAATTACATGCATCAAATTGGATGAATTTGTAATATAAATGATGGTCTCATTGAGACGATTATGATGAGATGACATAGACATGTTTTCATGCATGTTTTAGGCTTCGTTTGGGATAGCTTTCTTACTGCTTCTTAAAGCAGCTTTTCAGTACAAAAATTAAAATTTTTGTACTAAAAAGTTGCTTCAAGAAGCAATAAAAAAGCATCCCAAACGAAGCCTTAATCGTGAATGATCAATTGAACTAGCTTAAGGTGATTTGGGACAAGGTGGGGCCAATAAAATTTCTCTAATCTACATATTTTTCTTTGAATGTAGAAGCAAGTGATAGCTACAAAGAGTGTGGAGTTCATGCCTTTCCACTTGTCTTTCTTCACACTCCTCGCCACTTCTTTATGGATAGCATATGGATTTGTTTCTCATGATTATTTTATTGCGGTAATATTTAATTAAAATTACTAAATTGTGCATTTAATTTGTATTAATTTATATGTATTGTTTATCTAATATGCTCTTAAATACTATAATTGCAGGCACCTAATTTCGTTGGTTTCCCCTTAGGCATCATTCAACTTGTAGTATATGGAATATATAGAAGAGGAAAAGTAGCTAAAGATGATGAAGAGGCAAATACTAGTGGTGTAAATGTGTAAAGTATTTTTGAAGTGAAATGTGAGGATATCTAGCAAGGGAAAAGTCGTCCATAAATAAACAAGTTATAATGAGTTTAGCTCTATGTTCTTGAAACCATTCTTATGACTGATATTTCGCTACATGAAAATCATTTATTACCAGCTGATTTTTTTCACTGGTAAAGCCAGCACGTAGGAAAAGTTTTCCGGTGAAAAAAAAGCCGCCGAAAAATTTTCTAGCTGTTGTCCAGTCTAAAAAGGCCGCCAAAAAAAAAATTTAAAAAAAACCCAAAGCAGCCGCCCCAATATCCTAATATGTACAATAACATATTTTTAGCTATCTAATGTGTGAAAAAAAGCTATCTAAAATGTGAATAAACCAAACGCCTCATGTGTCTAATTAATACATTTACTCTTACATGAGAGCTCTCCATAATGGCAATCACTCTCCATAAAATAAAATCTTATACATATTGTTAAGTATCATACATCATAAGCTCACTCAACCATATGAATGCTTTGTAGGAATAATTTGATATTAAAATATGTTCAATCTTGGTATAAGGAAATAAAAAATCATAGGAACTATAAATCACTCGTTCTTAACATTTGATTATGTACTACATTTTAAGGAAGACAGATCAAAATTAGGCTAGATGTATTGATGGTCAAATCTAATTTCAACCACCAGTGTATCTATCACAACAAGTGTATCTAATAACTTTAATTATTCTTATGTTCACACTCTCTAAAAAATTGTATCATAACCAAAACTTCAATTGATATCAAATGGTTCATATAGTTTATGTTTCTTATTGGTCATTATCACCTTATATTGTATTTAAGTAAGTTCAAAATCAAGTGACACCCATATTAATGTAGTTGAGAGAGTTCTTAGTGCATGATACTCTATGATGTTGTAAATATTTTATTTGGGAAGAGTGATGAATAGTGATAGCTCATATGTGAATGAGAGACTCTTAAGGGACATATAAGACTTTAAGCGCACTTCAAATAGTTGAAAATATGTTATAGAAATTCTAAATTTTTAGCCTCTCATATATGGTTAAGCCTTCAGGTTGAAAGCATGTTTAATCATCATTGACTTTGGCCCAATTTCCATTTTCCTTTTGGTTCCACACTCCCTAAGATGATGTTTATATTTATATCTCATCTTCGCACATACATGTATTTGTATGTGACTTATTATGAACCTAATACATTAGAGTATACATAATTCCATTTTCATTGTGTGGTGAATTGACACTAATTCACTTCTATTTTTTTTTCTTAAAAAATAACGCCCAAAGAAAAAAAACGTGATGCTACTTTTTTATTTATACATTTTGTTACCATCTTCATCGTATATTGGATTAACCTTTGTTATATTACTGCTATTTTCATTTTGGTCAATTAATTTTTTGGATGAACTAAAATCTGGCATGCATGTTAGCATATATTGATATCTTTGGGTGCAACTATTATCACATAAAGAGTGGTATTCTCGTCCTTGCTATGATTAATGGGGGTTAAGAGGCCGCTAGACTGATCCTTGTTCTCATTTTTTTTTTCTTAATGAGTGTGAGTTAAAGGGGATCTCAATTGGACTCGATACATCAATTGTGAGTGATGATGATCCACTCATTATTTCGACAATGTTATATTTTTTTCATTCAATCTAATATTAAACACAATATTCTCATATGGTTTAATAATTTCCCCTTATGTGAGGATTATCCTCTAACACCTCTACACCCTTAAATATAAACTTTATAACTTAATTTTCTATTAAAAGCCTATTCAACAACATAGAGCTTCTTAGTAGTCATTTGCTCTTAAAATTTACTTAAACATAATAAAATGAAATAAACATCTATGAAAGACAAACTAAATAAACCACTTGACCTCATCAAACTATATATTATGATATTAATTGTTAAAAATTGAGGACAAACAAAAGCAAAAGTTGGATTTGATACTCTAGTAACAATTAAACTCATTTTTAATCTCAAAGCTTAAATGTATAAGTGAACCAACTATTTAGCCTTTCTACATCAATATATTTTTCATATAATTGATATAAAACTAAACTCAATTCTTATATAACCTACTATAACACAAGTGGTATGATTCCAATCACACATCAAGCCAAACTTCATCTCTTAATTTGTAGTCCTTTCACCAAAATCAAAACTTTTTCAAGTTATTGCATCTATAATATTTTATGGTTTATTAAGATCACTCATCTTGTTAAAACATAGATACTAGAAAGAGGATTTAATCCTTATAAAATGATAAGATAACATTGCATGCTTATGTTGATTTCATTTAGGACATGACGGAACATTCAATCTATCACTACTGCTAATTTCATGTTGTTCACTTGGATTAGATCAATGCCATTATTATTGCCTATCATCGCCAGCTATTGGGATCATTCTAGATTTAGGTGAATTGACCTTGTTAACTCTAAGCTAATCATCATTCAATCAAAATTTGATCATAAAGAATATATATGATCTTCATCTTTTGTTGTTGATAACTATAACAAATATTACATATAAAAACTATTTGGTAGTTGGCACATTGTTCTTTTTTATTGTACCTCAGCAAAGTCTTTCCAATGCCTTTCTTGATTACATTTGTAAACCAAATACAACTCCTTAGCACTTCCTACAATGGAACTCATCATCATAACAATTAATGATGGATGTATCAACTGATGTTATCTAAAGAGTTGATATTGCTCAATATTGTAATAAAGAATATTTGGCATTATATTTAGAAATATAATTTGATACATTTAGCCTTCTAGATTTATTGAATTGATTGTTCATGTAGATTTATAAAACTATTTCTTCATAGGAGCAATTAAACACTGGTTCATATTTTTAGCTCGTTTAAAAACACATTCAATTGTGTCAAGCAATACAAATATGATTATTGAAACATTTAAATATGCTAAACATGAACATATATATGTAAGCTCGGCATGAGCTCTAACGGAGCAACTTATGGTATGACTAACGGTTGTTTGCATTTTAAATAATAATCACAATTTTGTTTGGTTATTGCTTACTCGTTATGTTTTAAAAAAAATTTGTGATAGAAAGTTATTTTTTGCAACCAGCATAGTTAAGTTTTTTCTCCATAATAACTTCATAATCAACTTTATAACTTATTATTGTTGTCTTAAATATATCTTAAATCAAATCAAATTCATTATGTAACTCAGCTCAACTTGATTGCAGCCATAGACATGTGATTTCCCCCTCATAAAAATTTACTCTTGAAAAATCTTTCTAATATGAACTTTGTTGGCTAAGGATCCGTTTGGGACGACTATAACATTTTTTAAACGTGGTTGTAAAGTTGTTATAAAGATAGAAACTTTTTTAAAGTTATTATAGAAAGCAGTTTCCTAGCATAAAATATTATTGAAAATAATAAAAAAGCAGTAGCCAAATAGAAAATGTGGTTGCAGTCTGAAAACCAAAGCAGTAAAAAAGCTATCCCAAACAAGAAATATTATTCTGTGTGGGGTCCGAGCGCAGAGTTGTGTTCGGACTGTAAGTGTAAACATTGTGTATATATTGTGTACTTTTATTTTTGTAGATATTGTGTATAGATTGTGTACACACTGTGTACACTCACATGTTCAGATGCAACTCTACGTCCGGACTCCGCATAAAATATTTCTCCCCAAACGAAGCATGAGACATCATTAAATTCTTCTTATAAGCAGCTTTTTAAACAGTGACGAATATTTAATTATTTGCTAATAATAAATTAGATGCTATGATAATGATATTCTGTGGCTTGTTTTTCATATTATTTTGGAAAAATATATATTTCATTAACCCCAAAGAAACCTCTAAAACACAACCTTAACTTATGAGCATGAGGAGGGCAAAGAAGACCGATCTATCTTTTTTTATTAAAAGTCCTCAAAATCATTAATAAATAAATTGAATGTATAGAGAAAATAATATTATTAAGAAAAGTAAAGTAAATATTTGTTTATGTTTGAGCAATGTTGTAAAGAATTTGTTGAAGATAAGGCATGAAAAATATAGTGAACTTTTAAAAAGTTACAAAAAAGCTATACAATTAAGAAAAATTTAATATATAATATTAATTAAAAATAAACGTATGAAATATATTATGATTAACTTTATATATATATATAAGTAATATCTTATATAAATTATATGGAAAACAATGATAATAATGAGATAAATATTTTGTTTTTTATTGTGTTAGGATATTCATGACGGTAGAGAGAAAGTGTTTAGCATTTTAACATTTTATGAAGATTCTGCACACATGAAAAACACAAGAGTTAGTGGAGATATTAGAGTTTTTTATTAGAAAAATTCAAGAAAGGAAAAAACAAAGGGGTCTGATTCATTTGAAATGACTCAACTAGTGTTTGCAATTGATTACAAATAATGTTATTTCCCATAATTAGGGAAGGTGTCGATAAAATGAATGAGAGATAAACTATATAGAATCGATTCCATGGTCTAAGTTAGAAAAACCATATGGCATTGGAGTTATCTTTAAAATATTGTTTATTATTTTGTTTAGTTATTTTTATTTAGGGAGGAGAGATTATCTCTAAGAAGTCTAGTATAAATCTTAGTGTTGATGTCAGAGTTAAAGTTGGTGTTGGAGACATGCATTAACCTTATAAGTAATGTTGTGTGTTGTTATTGGTAGTGACAAAATCAGTGGGTATTGATCTTTGTGACAATGATCTGCATCAACCTTATATATAATATTGCATGTTAATTTGATTGGTGATGGTACATAATGAAGTTAATGCACTATAAGAAAATCACCCATTACCGGAGGAATTTTTCGGCTGTTTCTTTCTATCATAAATTTCTGGCAAATTTTTCGGTGGCTTTTCCAGATTTTCGATGGATTTTAAAAATTTAACTATTTAAATGATTTAACAAAAATTTTTTCGGCGGCCTAATTCTATTGGATAGCTGCCAAAAAAAGTTGTCGGAAAATGATCAATTTTCATCAGTAATAGGTGATTTTTTCTATAGTGACAAATGTTGAAATAGTAAAGTGGCAATGTTTGGATGATCATATTTGGACAATGATGGTCAAAGGACCATAATTGAGTAACATTGATTGGAGAACTATAATTGGACAATAACAGTTAGAGAGTAACATGAAAGTGATCATTATCAAAAAAACAAAAGTTAGTTGATAGTGGTTAGAAGATTATAGTCGGGCAATGATGATTAAAAAATCATGGTAAGGGTGATGATTATTGGAGGAGTATAGCTAGGGAATGGTTGTTGGATGATGGGTCGGAAGATCATAGTAATTAATGATAGTCCAAGGACTTTGCTCATGGAATTGTGGTAAGAGGATTATAATCAGGTGATGATAATCGAAGCGCCATTGTCGGGTGATGGTGGTCATAGGACTGGAGATGGGCACCGTTGGTAGGGAGACTATAGATAGATGATGGTGTTCGAAGAAACATATTTGGGCTATAGTGGTCAGAGAATCATAGTTCGACAACGATGGGCGAGAGATTGTAGTTAGATAATGTTGGTTGGAGGGTTGTAGATGGGCGATAAAGGTTGGAGGACCTTAGTCGAACAATAATTTTTGAGGACCATACATAGGGATGATAGTCCAAGACCATCATTAGGCAATGGTGACCAGAACAACATAGTTGTGTGTTAGGAGAGGATCAAAGTTGGGTGATAGCAATCGACATGTTGTTGTTTGGCGTTGGTGGTTGAAAGATTGTAGCTGGATAATAATGATTAGAGGATAGTGACTGAGTGATGGTGGTTGGAGGAGCATAGTTGAATGATGGTGGTTTAATGACCATGCTTGACTAATTGTGATTGAGAGATCATAGTTGGATAATAGTGGTCAAATAATTGTAGTCAATGGATGGTGGTCCAATGATCATAATCAAACGATGGTGTTTAAAGGATCATAATTGGGCAATATTTGTGGTTAAAGGCCCCATAATCAGGACATGATGGTTGGAGGACTAATGTCCATGGATAGTGGTCAAATGATAAAGGTCCAACAATAATGTAGGATAATGGTGGTCTGATGGTAACGGTCGACTAGTGGTGGTCTGAAGACGATGGTTATACAACGATGATCCCTAAGTGGTGGTCAGATGATGGTATGACAATGATTTTACAATGATAGTCGAGCTATGGTTGGGTAATGGTCTAATAGAGCTTTAGGATTCTTCAAGCTTCTGAGCACTCTTGAATCTCAAGACAATGATCATCTTAATGAAAGAGTGAGGGTTTATTTACAGTTTTGAGATTGACATGCTCTGTAAATATATTCAAAATTTAGAACACTCTCTAGGACCACATGTATTACTTCCCTTGATCATATGCTATTTTTTTATCATCTAAGTTCCTTAATAATGTTGAAATTAATGGACACATTGGATTCTTTAAGTGGAGATGCTTGAAATTAATTATAAGCATGTGAGATTTGGTGATTATTTGGTCCTTTAATTAAAGTCATAAAAATTCTAATTGTTTTTTAAATGTTTGAATTGGGTTGAATCATATCATTCTTAGTGTTGATGGGTTTATCATCAATATATTTAGTTTTACTGAAAGTTTGCATATGCCAGAGTTCTAGTGATCTTGAATTTAATTCGAAAAGTTCCAAATTTAAATATTGATCGATATTTACTTAAAATTCTTTTGAGGACAAATCATGTTAGAAGATTTTAACATAATTTATAACATGATGAGCATGAAATAATTAAATTTGTCTTGAAATCATTATTGCATATAAAAATTTATATTGCAATAACCTCTTAAGAAATATTATAAATTTCAAGCATAACTTGATATGGATTATATTAGAATATCATATCAATTTTTTCATATTATTAATTTTATTTTATTCATTCATTTATTGAGATATAGCAATGTCTACATATAAATAAAAAATTTAGGTCAAATATTTCAACCAAATTTTGATATTGTAAAATTTAAAATCTTTTGATGAGTAAAAGTATATTAAAAAAATATTATACTTATTTAAAATAAATTAAATAAATTTAAATTTAATTTTTTTTAAAAAAATTTTGATAAAAATATCATGTGCTTTTTTTAAACAAATAAATATATTTTTTAATTACCATGTTAACCTTTTCTTCCTCCTTTCTCATCTCCCACGCGCTCCCAAAAGAGCTACTTTTCACCGCTATGGGTAAACGGTCACTCCTCCTTGCTTCACTCTCTTCCATTCTTGTTCCCCAAAAAGCAGTAGGCTCCATGTCCGCTCCCTTCCCAGCAGTAGCTTAAGCCCTCCTCTCCCATCTGATTCTCTTTCATCTCTCTATCATTTCCTCCTCCAAAGCCCTTTTCCGACGAAGAAAGCAACCTCGGCCTTCCCGTTTTTCTTCTCCCTCAGAAGCGAAGACGCAGCACCATGAGAGGATCCCTTCTTTTCCTCGTCCTCATCTTTTCTTCCCGTCTAGACTGGACAGTCGAAGCCACCACCACAGGTGAAAAAAGTGAAGCACATTTCCACCTTTATGCAGACTTTGAGTAGATCCTTTACACTAATGCTCGTTTTTCACCTTTCTATTACAGCGGTTCTTATGAAGCATCTCAAGAACTTCTCTCCCGTTCTCAAGTGGCCGAGGACTTCACCCAAGGCAGTGGAAACAGGTGAGTTATTTTCTATGTGGTCTTTTGGGTTTTGAATTTTGGTTAGGTTTCTGGGTAATCTATTTCACATTTTGTTTATGCAGATGGAGATGCTCCTCTGTTTGAGAATGGTTATTTTGTGGAAACACTTGTGGATGGAAACAAGCTCGGGATTGTTCCTTACACCATACGGGTTTCTCCGGAGGGAGAGCTCTTTGCTGTAGATTCTGAGAATAATAACATAGTTAAGATCACTCCGCCATTGTCCCAATGTAAGCTTTCTATCTACTATGTTAGGTTTGATTTGAGTATAGTGCTTGTGGTTTCTGATTAATATAAGCGTGCTTTGATTTGATTGTAGATAGCAGGGCAAGGTTAGTTGCTGGGTCTTTTCAGGGCTACTCAGGGCATGTAGATGGTAAACCTAGTGATGCTCGGTTTACTCATCCAAAGGGTGTTGCCATGGATGAGAAGGGCAATGTATATGTTGCAGATACTGCTAATCTTGCTATTAGAAAGATTGGAGAGTCAGGTGATTGAATCTGAAATATGATTCTTGAAATTTTGGTCATGGAAGTAAATTTGTTTCTGTAGAGGAGTTTTTTGTGATGGATTTGAATCTTCTTGTTTCAGGAGTGACTACAATTGCTGGAGGAAAATCAAATGTTGCTGGATATAGAGATGGGCCGAGCGAGGATGCTAAGTTTTCCAATGATTTTGACATTGTTTATGTTGCAAGAACTTGCTCTTTGTTAGTGGTTGATCGGGGTAATGCTGCTCTTAGGCAAATTTCTCTTCAGCAAGAAGACTGTGATCCCCAGTTTAACTCAATTTCTACTTCAGGTTTCTCGAAACCACTTGAGCTTTTCTTCTTCAGGTTTCATGGATCTACTTAAGCTTTTGTTTTTATTGCTTTAAGAATGTTGATGTCTTATTTATTAACTAATTACTTGCCCCTGCATTCTGTGATATAACATAAAAACAAACTGAAAGTATTTTGGGAATAATCAGTATAAATTAATTCACTTGATGCATCAATTAAATATTAATAGCTGAGTTAGATGATTATAATAAAATAGTAGTTAAATTGAAATAAATTGAAGCATATATATATAAGCAAGTATTTGTAATTTAAAATATTCTTACAATTAAAGTAATAATACATAATTCATTATTAAAATTATTTTTATTAACTGAATCAATTAATTAACTTGTTCATTGAAATTATATTTTAAAATATTAAAATAGTATTTTTTATTAAAACTATTCGTTAATACCACAAATTTATGTCCAGGTATAAGGACAAAAAAAGTGCCAAATGTTGCTACCTAAATCCTTGAACACTGTTTTGGTTGAGGAATGGCAAACCATATATTTTCATTGTATTATAATTATAGATGGTAATATTTATTTAATTTATCTCAATATGAAAGGTCATATTGCCTCTCAATATGATGATCTCAATAAGGTGCCTGTTGGGTTTCTAGTCCATCAACTTAATGATGATGATGATCTTAATGATGTGTAGAATGACAGTTTGTTAGATTGTAATGATATCGACCTCTATCATCAAATCAAGTTAATTCTTTCTTTAGTTTTCAACATTGCGGCTATGAATCTCTATATAGTAAATCGTTTAACCTAGATGCTTGATTCGTTTAGGTTGATTGATATTGAGAGTTTTTCTCACCAAGTGTTGGCTTGATCTTTCAGTGTTCATGTGTTAGAGAAGCCCAAGGGCATGGTTATTAGTAGGGGGTTTTGGATGAATTTTATGACTAAGGGACTATGCTTTGGTGAATTTCAAGTAAGAACTTACTCTGTAAGTGTTGATTTGGAATCAAATATTTGTTGAAGATAAATATAGAACAAATTCCCCTAAGTAAAACTTATATTTTTTTCATTACTAATAAAAAAAATTAATACCTGCTATATGAACGAAGAGTAGAAGTCTATTACTTGGGAGGCTTATCTAAGATTTTTAGAGTAGCTTGTGCTCAAGGGTGTCTCCTTCCACTATCTATTGCTCTTGTTGAAGTGGGAGTGCATTTTTGTACCAAAGAACTTGTTCAGACAGTTGGATTAATTATTAATGGTGAAAGTATGCTACATGGATGTCATGAGTAATTTCGCTAGTGTCACATATGATAATGCATTTGTCGGTTGGTCCTCTTTCTGATTGCAAGCTTTTCAATGGCTCTGGGCTTTGCTTGCATTGAAATGTTTCATGAGAATATGTACTCTATAATTCATAAAATATTCTCATGCTGAGCCGAGGCATCATATGCATGGCTGTCAATGGCGCAAAATAGCGCGCGTCATGGCGCACGCCGCGGCGCACCTACGGCGCCATGTTCATGGCGAGGCGCATGTGTTTAAATTAGCGCGCGCTATTTGCGCCACATGTGAGCCATGGCGCATTGCGCATGGCACAAAATAGCGCTCCAAATTGTTTTTAAATTTCGGTATACTTATGAATATTTTTTATATTTAAAAATATATCTATATTTTAAGATAAACGACTATTCATTGCCCTAATTTCACGAAAGATTTTCTGTTTGCTGCATCCGCCGAACACATCCCGCAGTCCCTAAGTCGAGGTCGCTGAATCTATCCCGAAGTCGAAGGTTTTCTGTTTTCTGTTTGCTGCATTCGCTGCTTCCGCCAAATCCAGCCGAATATGTCCCGAAGTTGAAGTCGTTGTTTCTGCCGAATCATCCCGCAGAGCAGTGCTTCTGCCAAATTCGCCCCCTCCTTCGTCTGTTCCAATAAAAAATCTTACCAACTGACTCTGATTTGCAACCTCCGTCTGTTCCGCATAGCTCTGTTGTTTTGCACGACTATTTCTTACAAGAATTTACAACTTAACAGGTATGCTCGGTACCGTTAGGTACATGCTCGATACCGCTATGTAAATGCTCGATATCGCTATGTATATGCTGGATACCGCTCGGCAACGCTAGTTACTTGCTCTGTACCGCTCGGTACAGCTCGGTACAACTAGGTACTAGCTCGGTACCGCTCGGTACAACTAGGTACAGCTCGGTACAACTAGGTACCAGCTTGGTACAACTAGGTACACGCTCGAAATTGCTAAGTACATGCATGATACATGCTCGGTACTGCTATGTAAATGCTCGGTACCGCTCGGTACATGCTCGGTACCGCTTGTTACATGCTCTGTACAGCTCGGTATAACTAGGTACACGCTCGGTACATGCTCGGTATTGCTAAGTACATGCATGATACCGCTCAGTACTGCTATGCAAATGCTCGGTACCACTCGGTACATGCTCGGTACCGC